TTTTTAGTCAATATGCTTCTTCTAATGAGCATTATATTGAAACTGTTTTCCAGAAGTGCTTTTTCTATTAATCTTTTAAGGTTTATTATATTTGTATTTTCTTCCCTTCTTTTGGCAATTTCTTGTATAACATTTTTGACAAATCTGTTATATATACTTGCTTCTTCAACATGTGCTGTAATAATGTGATCTATCATTTCTAATTCTTTGCACTTAATGCATTTGTTAGTTTTATAGACTTCTGGTTTTCTTTTGTATAATTCTATTATCATGGATAGTTTATCATTAAAGAAGCAAAAAACATTCCATCTTTCTATGTGATCCTGGAAATCTGTTTTTCCCTTTATTATACTTCCTCTTATATTTGCTTTCCATGTGCTTGACCAATCGATTTCTCTTGCCTCCTGTCTGTCTAACCAGCTTCTGTGTCTATTTTGTGTTATCCATATACTTGCTCATTTTGTGTATCTGTTGACTTTGAGAAATGTTTTTATATTTGCATTGATTGTGTTGTTACTCCACTTCAGGTATGCTTTGATCTTGGTTAATGCTTTTTCATTTATGTTTATATTTTCGCTCTTGTTTTCTTTTCTTTCTTCATTGGCTAATCGATCTGCTAACTCATTAAGTTCAATTCCTGTATGTGCCTTTATCTTTTCGAATTGAGTGACGCTTTTCTTTTCTTCTTTCTTTTGTTATATATATGCTATATTTAGTAATGCTGCACAATTAGTTATGTTGTTTCCTGTTAGATCTTTTTGAATATTGTTTAATGTCATTTGACTAACTGTTTTAATTGTGATGTTTGAGTCATTGCTTGTCATTTCTAGTGCTATTGCTATGGCCATGCTCTCCGCCATAGTAGATGATGACCAAGTAGTTACTTTGCCACTGAACATTATTTTTTCCCCAGTATTATTGTTTTCATAAACAATTTCTATGCCCATGTTTGTACAGTTTTTGTTTTGCTCGAGTAATCCATCTGTATATATTGATATATTCTTCCATGTTTTAATTCTTTTCTTAATATCTTTTATTTGTACTTGTTTATTTCTACTAGTCATTGTTACCCCTGTCAATATATGTTTTCCTTTTTGTATTTGTTGTATATCTTTTTTGTTGTAATTTTGTTTAGATTTGTTGTATTCTGTTGCTCTCCTTTTGTTTTGTTTTTTGTTACTCAGCATTTATTGAATTTGAAGATATCAGCAAACATTTGTGTTGACTTGTGATAAAGCTATGGATCTTGCTTGATCTTGTTGTAGTAACTATAGATAGCTTTTTTGTTTCTTTTTTGTTGATGACAAGCTCACATGATACCTGTATTGTTCCTATATTGTATTGGCATCCTTGGCATTTTGTTATAGATGAGTTTCTGGCTATTTGTATATAGTGTTTGATATGAATTTATTTATCTGTTTTCTTGTATCTTTTATCAATCTTGCCATATATCATGTTGTCTCTGATTTTTGTAGTTATGAAGTTGTCTTGCAATGTAACTGTTCTTTCTGTTCTGATTAACTGATTGTCTGGCCAGTCTTGCTTCATTGTCCATGCATTATCTATAATGCTTGATGTAGCAAGCATTGTTTGTAATTGTTGGAACCATTCTGGGATTCTCCATTTTATTGCTTTTCCTTTATCCTTATAGCTTGCTTGAATCCAGCTTAATGCCTTTTGTTGGTTTGAGTTGATAAATTGTTTCACGTATATTATTTTATGTTTTCTCATGTCTTTTTGTTCTGTTCATATCATTTGTGGTCTACAATTTCCTCAATCAGATGGAGAGGTTGTTTGGCTGACACTACAGTGATGTTATTAGCTTGTGTTGGCTCGATCATAAAGTTGTTATCTTTCATTAATTCCAAGATTTGGCTATGCAAGCTGGACTGATTGTATCTTTTTGTGCTGACTCCAGCTTCCAAGATGCTATTGGTTGTCCATGCCTGATTCTGCAGATTTTGTAATCTTCTATAAGTAGTTTTCCCTATGAGTATATTAGAGTTGCAATCTCTAATTAATCTTTTAATATGTTGCTCTAGTTGTCGGTCATAGATGTATAATATGTTATATATAGTGTATATATATATCCCACTGTTAATTGCTATCGATGCCACCCCAATTTTGTGTTTCATGAGACTGATTATTTTGCTGTTGTGTTTGTTGCATTCCCCTTGTAATAGTATCATATCCTGGAACAGATAATTTACTACTAGTACCAGCACATGATTTAGGATATATGCAAGCTGTTTATTTGTAATATGTGTTCTTCTAAGTATATTTGCAATGTGATGTACCTTATCTTTGATTAGTTCTTTTGGTGTTTCTTTGCTCCTGATGCTGTTATCCATGTTTCCATGATTCTGACTGGTGACTTGTGATGTTCTGCTTGTATTATATCATTGTTCCATCTGATCTTATTAAATGTATGGTTCTTGTTTGTTGTTAGAAGGAATAATTTTTGTGGGTTTATTTTCAAGTTGTTTAGATTCATAAATAATGTTATGATCTTTCCTATCTTTTCCAACTTTTTCTTACTGCTAGTAATCCATGTGCTGTTATTCATATATGTGATTGAAGATATATTGAGTTTGGTTTTTCAAATTGTTCTTGGATTTGTTATTGGATAATCCATAGTAATTGTGTATCCTAGGTTCTCTTGTTCAACTTTATATATAAGGAAATTATAATATATGCATCAAAGAAGGAAGGAAATTGTATCACCTTGATCTATTCTTGTGTTTGGGCTGTAGCTCTCAGAGAATCCGTGATATATGATTATTTGGTTATTTCTATTGAAGTTGAGTTTTAACAATATTGTTATGATGTTTTGTGAAATTTTGATTCTTAGCAAGACATCTTCAAGTTAGTTTTTATCCATAGAGTCATATACTTTGCTAATATTCTGTATTAGGATCCAGCATTCTTTTTGATTCTTTCTGGCATCCTCCAGGACATTGTTAATGATTATTATTGATTCGTGTATTCCTCCTCCAAGAAGTTCTACCCAGTTGAGTGGAGATAGTATCTTGTGCTTTGTAAGAATTTTGGCCAGTCTGTTGTTCAGTGTTTTTATAAAAATCTTCTTAATTGTTTCTAACAGTGTGATGGGTTAGGTTAGATTGAGGTCATGGTACCAATCTTTTTTTTTTGATATGGGATATATCAGATTGTTCTGCCAGAAGCATAGGATTTCTTGTGTTTCAAGTACTTTATTGAATATGTTTACGATTCTTGTATATGGTGTTTTTTCCATTTTTTTGATAATGTTATAGCTAAGCTAAGTTTGCCAGATATAGATCTGTTATTCATTTTTTTTGATTGTTTCTTTAATCTCTTGTATTGTGTATTGTCCAGTGAGCTCTGAATACCATATTGGATCTATTTTTTTTTTGATACATATTCTGTCCGCCATTTTGACTCTTCAGTTTTTTGTTTTTGTAGTGTTGAAGCTGTGATCTGTTTGTAGTAGTCTACTGCCATCTTTTTAATCATAGTTGGATCTGTGATGGCATCCTTTTCTGGATCTTCAAGGAGCAGTTTATCCATCTTGATGTGTGTTGATTTTTTATTAAGGAATAAATCTATCATCTTTTTCTTTGCGAATTGGTGGTTGTATTGTCTTATCTTTGTATATTTTTAGATTTGGATTTGTTTTTGTATTAAAGGTGGATTTTAAGTGCTTTTGCAACACCTGCTTTTAGGTTGCGTATTTCTTGGAACCACTGAACTAGGCTAATATCCTGGGATTTGTTTGTAAGCTTGGTTGACAGGAGTTCTACTGTTTGTTCGTTTGTTTTCTGCCACTAATTGATCTGTAACATTGTGTGTTTGGCATCTATATTTCCTGCCAGATATTTTTTTGCGATGTTTATGGCTCTGTTGAGTGCTGTGATTGTGTGTACTGTTTTCCTATCATTGTTTATTTTTATTTTTTGTTTGTTTTATTTGGTCTTTATTTTTTTTATATTGTTTCTCTTGGCCTGGTTTATTGTTTCCCACATGAGATTCCACAGCTTGTTTGCAGAAACTCAGTTAGAATTGATTTTTTCCTCTTGTACTACTATAATATTTATAATTTGTTTTGAGAATTGTTTCCATTGTTTGTGGTTGTATACTTTATGAAGTATCTCCAGCTGGTTTTTTTCTGCTGTTTTGATGGACTTTTTGAGTTATATCCCCAGTCTCAATTTTGCAGCCTGCTATTTCATGGTCACTGTGGATTATCGCTTCTGACTCTATTATATATGCGTGGCATAGGTTCCAGTCTTCATCTGGTAACATCCAGATTTGATCGATTCTAGTTTTTGTGTTTCTGCTGTTTTGCCATGTGTACTCCTTCTGGTGTGGATAATGTTATAATGGCAGATTGTCACATGTATTGAATACTCATGCTTATATTGGTAATCTTTCTATATTTGGTAAAGGCTTGTTATACTTCTATAGGTTTTGTATCCAAGAGAAATATTTTATACTCTGATACTATTTTCCTGTTTTGTGTCAACAGCTGTGGTTGACATGTGTTTCATGTGCCTGTTGTTCAATTTTGGAAGATTGATTGCACATGCATTGTCTGCAGCTTGTTTATCACCAAAAATGGCAATAATTTGTTCCTCTTCTTATTTTCCTTCCTTGTAAATTGCAAGAAGACCTTTGGAGCTTTCCATGGCTTTTGTAATATATTGAATCTTTTGCCAGATATTATCTCCTGGCACCTCTAATGCTACAATTCTGACCTTGCTCCTCTGTTTACCATATTTTATTGCTCTGTCAAAGGGTGAGCGTGGTCTTGGTTTCATATTTGTTCTTTTCGCTTTTCTTTTTCCTTTAACTATTTGCCAGTTGCTTTGTTCTTCTTGATTATCTTGGTCGAAGGTAAACATTTCTTTATTACTGTCATCAATTTTTGCTGCACCAGGTTGTATTGTTCAGGCACATTATTCTTAGGTGTTTGTATTGCTTTGGTTTGTCTTTCTTTGTTGTGTACTTTCTCTTCAAAGATGGTTCGAGTGGAAGTAGAGGCTTCACCCAGCTCTTCTTTCACCATTTGGCTCCATCTGTTTTCAGTACCTGTTTGTGTGGGCTTTTGCTATGCCTTGGTTATTTGCTATTGCTGTTATTGTGCCTTTGACTTCAGCAGCAATGTTAAGAAATGGGTTGGTACTTCTGTTGCTGGTTTTTCTTGTTTTTTGATGGGTTTCTGTATTGGATAGGGTATTGTTTCTCTGCTTCTGGTGTTGTTTTTCCTCTTGGACATGTCTGCTATGTTGTAGTTGGACCTAGTGGCTTGGTTGGAGCTTCTCAGGCTTCTGTTTACACTTATTCTTTTTACTTCGCTTTAGTTTCCTTTTATGGTAACTGTATGTGTTTGGAAAAGAGTATGTGATAATATATGTATTAATAATATGTATTTTATTTATATGTTTTTATATTTATTTATATAATAAAGAATCCTTATAAAAAATTTTCTTTTTATATATATAAACTCAGACTTGTACTTTACTCTGAATTAATAAAATAATAATTATTTTCTGAATAAATACTTGTTTTTTTCTATATGTGAACTTGGTAATCAGTAAGTACTTATCCCATTGGTTTTGTTTGTAAATGGCATATATGTATAGTATCTTTTTAAGAATTCTGTTGAGATGTTCTGTTTGTTTATTAATATAGGAGTAAAATATTGTTGATATAACAGTTTTTGTTTCCAGTTGTTGAAACAGGGCTTGCCAAAAATGGCTGATAAATCAAGTATCTCTATCCAATAAAATAGCTTTTAATAATCTATAGTATTTGAAAATTTCAAAGAAAAAGATCTTGGCAACTTCTAATATAGTGGCAAAGATATATATTGAACAAAAATAAGCTCTTTTGATTAGGCAATTAATAAACACAACCATACATGTGGTCATATTGCCATAAAAGGAAATTTGATCGACAATACGATTCCGAATTAAATACGAATTCCAATTAATTACTATATGTTACTTAGT